TGAGCCCTCGGGAAGGGCTCCTGTGCTCCTTGGTTCCAGACACAGCTCAGCATCGAGAAAATCAGCCTGAAAAATCCCCCTGACACACAGAAAATGTGCGGAGCAAAAGCTCCCCCAAATGGCTCAAGGTGCAGAGACAGCAGGATCCAGAAACGGAGGAATAAACACTCACTGCTCCTCAGAAAGCGCTCTAGGTTTACACAGAACTGGAAATAGGAGCTAAACTGAGATAAAACGTTTGCCTTTTGTGAATATATATTGAACTTTTCTCTCGTGGATGGAAACAAGGCAGCTGATTACTGAAAAGACGGGTGAAATGCCTTAGGATCAGCTAATGATGAACCTGACCTAAAAGCAGTTTTATTTCTACACATCYCAGAGGTTACAGAGGATGTAATTCAAAATCCAAGGAAATTTCCAGGCTAAAATGGCTGTTTTGGAAAGGTAAAACAAGTTACTGAAAACCTCATTTCCTTATCAGTTATTTACTGAAATTTTGGCTGAATTCAAACTCATGTTAAGTTAACGTTCAGGTCCTGACSCTGCAAGGGCCACCCAAACCCAAGGAATTCTGCTCACCAGAGAGTGGTGGTTAGCTCAGGATGCATTTAATTCACCCCGTGCAGCCCCTGGGTGCTGCCCAAAGCTGATGTGGGCACAGAGCACAGCCCTGCCCCAGGTGAGATAATGCAGGTGTGCTAACCCAGGACACTCACAGCCCGCACTCACCTTGTGAGCCTGGTCCAGAGACTGCTTCCTGAAGTCCAGCTCATCATCCAGGTAACCCTTCTGCTTGCTGAACAGCTCCTGGGGGGCAAGGAAGGGCTGGCAGTGACCACCAGGGCCCCAGGGCCATGTCCCCTCCATGTCACCTCCCTTCCCCTCCCTGTCCCCTCCTGTCCCCCTCCTGTGTCCCCTCCTGCCCCAGTACCTTCTCGTTCTCCAGGTCCAGCATCTTCTGCTGCAGCGCCGACTCGGTCACTTCGATCTGCTGGAGCCACTGAGGGAACAGAGAGCAGAGCCCAGCCTGAGCAGAACCCAGCCTAACAGAGCCCAGCCTGAGCAAAGCCCAGCGTGAGCAGAACCAGCCCAACCTGAGCAGAGCCCAGCCTGAGCAGAGCCCAGCCTAACAGAGCCCAGCCTGAACAGAGCCATGAGCTCAGCTTCCCCTGGCACCTGGGCATGTTGCAGCACATGGCAAGCACTACTCAACAGGAAAATTCTCTACATCACTGCGTTTTTCTTTTCTATCTATTAGTAATGGAAAAAAAACGTATTTCAAAGCCTGGCCCTTCCCTCCTGCCATCACTCAGTGAAGTTCAGTAACATTTTGAGTTGAGCACTGTCTGTCTGCAGTGCTGGATTGTGCCTTTCCATGGACAAAGCCCAGAATAATTCCCCATAAAGCACCGTGGCAGTGGTGTGGAGCTGTCACCTCCTGCTGCAGTGTCTGCTCAGGGCTCAGCTGCTCTCCAGACCCACAAACACTGAGATGATGCTGTGCTCTGTATTTTCAGGGGCTCAGCTGCTCTCCAGACCCACAAACACTGAG